TGTTTATTTATTTATTTTTAGTTTGTATTGAGCTGGGCGTGGTGGCACACACCTTGGGAGGAAGAGGCAGGGGATCTTTTTGCCCCCTTTGTGGAATGATCACTGAACCTGAGGAACCAATATTATAGACATGTTCTATTCAGGATTAAATACTCTGCAGTCACCTGTTCTCTGCATGTTGGTCAGTTTTGTTCTCTGTGTTAAGCACCATCTGCTGTGTAAGGAAGTTTACTTGCTGAGAGTTAAGAGATGCATTAATCTATGGTTATAATAATGTTTTTAGTAATCTACTTAATACTATATCTATTTAGTAAAATAGTTGTATTAGGCGCTCACTCATGGCCTGTGGGCTATCTAGCCTCAGGTTCATAAACCTGATTGATATCAATGGCAAGTGTATGTTCCATCCTATGAAATAGACCTTAATTCCAACTAGAAGTACTTGACTGCTCTTATATTTGTGCCACTATTTTATGGATGGGCTTCCATAGACCGCCCAGTTGTTCTTATAGATTGGAGGATGCAGAGCTGGTTACTGTTCTTGCTTAACTTTCTCTTCAAGTAGCTTGCCTGCCAACATTATAAAAGCTAGTTGACAGAGATGAGGCTGTGAAGTCAGAGTGGTTTTATTTCTCCTTGCTTTTCTACAGCTCTGTTTGAGTGTCTTGAACAATAACGTTTTACCATGAAATTTTTGTCATTGTCCAAGAGTAGGAGCATGTGCCAGAATTATTTGAGGGTCTATTAGACCCATTATCAAGATCTACAAAACACAGAGTGCATTCCTGGTGTTGGCTTTCCTTTCTTAACCTATGGTGTCTTGTAGGAGAAATATCTCCCTGTTATAACACCTTATGATCTCTTTTTATAACATATATGGGCATCCATTAAGTAGCTTCTAGAGTAGGAAACTTTGCACATGGCTTTTTCTAAAGATTCTTAGTGTGAGCTATCCCAAACCATGTTACTTCCTTTGCCTTAACCTCCTGCTCCCACTGAAATTAAGACTTTCTACTCTCTCATGTCCCTTTATTTATATTGCTGCATTCAACCTCCCATCTAAGGAAGCCTCCGCTCTCAACCATGGTCATTTATTAGTTTCTTGACATCTCTGGATTTTCAAACTGAAATATGTACATCTATGATTTCACAGCTAGAATCCAGCTATGAGAGAGGCTCTGTGATGATCAACTTTTCTGGTCTGGGCTTCTCCAATTGACTTTCCATTTTAATTTATTTTTTTATTTTCAGTTTAATATTTTATTGTTTTTATGAGATTTTTATACAATGTCTTCTTAACATATTCAGCCAGTCTCCCCCGAGTACACACTCACCTTATTATCCTGTGTCAAATTTAATGTACTATGTTATTTAATTGTCTTATTGAGTTGAATTTATGTCCCCAAAAGCTCTTCAGTGTGGGTCCATGGGCTGGAGCCTGGTCAACCTACCCAATATAACACCCTTAGAGAAAACTTTTTCTCCCTCTCCCAGAAGTTGTCAGTTTCCAAGACTTCCTCAATTAAGGACGGGGCTTGTTATGTGCATCCCCCTACCCCTACATGCAGGATTATGTCTGGCTTGAGTTTGTAGAGATCATGTATATGCCATCATAATTGCTGTGAATTCCTATTAATTATTGTCCTTCTGTTTGGAAAAAAAATGCTTCCTTTTATTTCTCCACTACAAAATCTTTCTGAGTGATGCCCAAACTTTAGAAGGCGAGGGTACAATATATTCCCATTCAGAGTTAAGCACTCAGGAACCCTTATTCTCTTTACACTGACCAGTTCTGTGTCTCTATGTTAGTTGTCATCTGTTACAAGAAGCTTCTCTGGTGAGAGTTGAGAAATGCATTACTCTTTGGGTATAAAAGGAAGACGTTAGCAGTTTATTTAATGCTTTGACCATTTAGAAGACCAAGAGATTATTTCCTATGAACAATAACTTGTCTAGTCACATATTGTTATGAACACAGGCCTGTACACAGTCTTGATAGAGGGCCTTAAATCCTGCCATAAATTGTTTGTAACTCCCATAACTTTAAGGCCAACATCATACCAGTGGACATATTATATCAGCCAGGTTTCTATTGTAGCACACAGTTCACTGCTGGGCAATGCTGATGACTAGTTTTTACTTTTGGTAGCATGAATACCATCGTCTTGCACTATGACATCTAGCCAAAAGTGTAACTTAGAAGTCAGTATTAACTTGGTTCCCCTTGTGTATTCTATGACTCATGTATTTAGTGTTTTCAGCAATAGGAAATTGCCATCAAGTTCTGATGAGTAACCAAGTGTTCTCATTGTCATAGGTAAGTAAGATTAATATTGTGAAAATGGCCATCCTACAAGAAACAATATAAAGAGTAATTGCAAAGCACATAAGGATTTCAACACAATTTTTCATGGGAATTAAAATAATCTCAAATTTTATATGGAAACACACACAACAGGAACAGTCTACAGAACCCAGAAAAATAGAAGAAGGGCTGGAGACATCATCATCCCTGATTTCAAACTATCCTACAGACCTATAGTAATAAAAACAGCATGGTACTGACATAAAATCAGATATGTTAACCAATGTAATATAATAAGATCCCAGATCTAAGTCCACACACTTATAGCCACCTGATTTTTGACACAGGGACACAAAATCCTGTTTTTCTTTTTTTTTACTAAAATTGTTTAGTTTGAATATTTAACTTTTAACATTAAATATTAATATCTGTTTATTGAATGCATAAAATATGAAGTATACATTTAAATATTTCACATGCTATATATTATGTAAACTTCAAAATGATTTAGGTAAATGCTACCCTGAAACCACAATGTCATTAAAAACACATCCAATTTATGCAAAAAGGGGAACCCTATTGTTAAAAAGCATGTAGTCTGCCAGGACTGGTGGCATGTGCCTTTAATCCCAGCCCTCTGGTGGCATAGGTAAGTGGATCTCTGAGAGATTGAGGCCACCTTGGTTCAAATTGTGACTTCCAGGTGGTCTGTGACTAGAGTGTCCATGTCAAAAAATAAATAAATAAATAACCAAAAAATATTTTAATTAAATAATAGAGGGCCTGGAGTGATGGCTCAGTGGTTAAGAACACTGGTTGTTTTTGCAGAAGACCTGGGTTTGAATCCCAGCACCCACATGGCAGATAA